AATATAAAAAGGCTTCAGTACTGGTGTTGGTATTGAGGCTAGCTTAAGCTTGTTGGTTTAATTAATATAAACATGTCTTTAGAAACATCAATGTTAAGTATATCCCTTTGTTGTGTAAGACTTACTAGAGGTCAAGTAAGACTATTGTATCTGCTACAAATTTGTCAACAAGAAAAGTAACTCAATGTAAAAGAAAACCTTTCAAAAAAGTAACAAAATAAGAGATTTTGGGTTAACTATAGTTTCGTTTTCGAAATATCTATCTAAAACTGTCTCCTCAAATTTTGGTACTTAAAACTAAGTAAAAAATGTCACTATCTGGGTTATGTATAAAATATTAAAACACAATTGCTGGGCAGGTCTAGGTTTATCTACCTTTGCTTTGGTGAAAAAAACTAAAACATGTTTCCAGTCGGGAAGCAGTGACATGACAGCCAATTCAGTTGCTTGCTCCTTGGTTTTTGCCAGGGAATTAAGTCTTTTAAGGGTTAAAATTATAATATATAATTAAAGCTCCTAAAACAAATATTTCCGTATGCAGTGGGCAAGTATGCATGTTTTCAGTAAAAGAGTTTCATTAAAAATTTTTTTTTAATTTCATGCATAATCAGGATTTTAAATACTGAACAAATTCTAAAAGTTCTTTGTAGCTCCAGCCAGCTTTGAGATGCTTAAAAAAAAACAAAACCTGAGACATCTTAGATATTAAGTTAACTAGGATTATTTAATATGGTAAGTTAAATATAATCAGTCATGATTCTAGTAATTACAAATAAGTTTCTTTATCAATTACAGATGTGTAACCATGCCTTTTAAGTTTTTTGTCGTTATGTTGCTGGTGGATGCAACCAGTGTTCCAGATTCTTGCCTCGTTCCAGAAAGACTTCAGAGACAAGTCATAGTGGTTTAAAAAAGTAAAGTGAGGATTTATTAAAGGATGGGTAGTCCACTCTCAGGGGAGAGCGGGCAGGCTCAGGTGAGCGGCTGCCCTGAGTGTCTTCAGCAAGTTGCTAACATAGGGTATAAAAGTGAATGGGCGGAATATTCATTGGGGTGGGAAGAGCTTGGGGTCATATTCCTTGATTTTCTCCCCAACTCCACCTTCCCAAAGGGAGGAGGGATTTTTGTCCTTACTGAGTCTGGATCGAAAGTGTCGTGGCGTCGGTGCATGATGGGTACTTCTGATCTGCAAGGCTAATTTTATTCAAATAGGGGCATAATGAGTAAAAGGTTACATTCAGAAACTGGAAATTCCTGCCTTTTCTCACCTTTCTTTGTTGGCCTCCAAGGCCACTCATCACCCCAAAAGTTGTGATTCCTTATGAGCCCAAAGGTTCCTGCTTTTCTTTCTCTGCCAAGGACCCCTGGTGCTTGTGTGATGTGTGGTTTCCTGCATTTGGCCTGTGCCCCTCCTTTCTGCCCAATTCCTGCCATCTGGTCTGTGTCCCCCTTTCTCTGCTCATATCTAGCTGTCTGCCTGCTCTAACAGTTACAGACTGTCAAACTGTTGTTACAAAGGGGCTTCGTCTTTATGAAAATTCATCAGAAGTCAGTGAAAACAGCGGGTTCCTGCAGCCCCACATCAGATGATGGCTGTGCAAAGATTCTAGTCCACACCCTCAGCCCTCAAAGAAACCCTCAAAAGCAACAGGCTGTCCTGCCCCTGGGGCCCTAGATTAGACAATCAGAGAGTTTTACTCCCTGATAGGCAGTTTCAGAAGACGACCATCGCCCTTCTGCAACCCCGTTAGATGTGGGAGTAAAATCTCTGAGGGGGGAATGAGACAGGAAGGGGGCAGGGCACAGCCATTCAAGGAATGCTACAGCAAGTAACATCAAAATGGTGGAAGATTCAACCCCCAGGAGGCCTCACGGCTCAGGATGGTGGGAGATGTGACGTCTAGCGGATCTTGAGCTTCATTATACTCCCACTGCAATGTATTAGTGTGGTAAATAACACGTCCACAGGTGCCATGACTGTCCCAAGTCTGGCCACAAAAGGTCAAAGAGTGGGAAGTGGCCAACTTCCTGGGAATCCCAGCCCTTTCCCAAGGTTAGTTAGCCTGGCCCTTCCACTTATTAGCACATGAAGCCACTGAGCCCGTAAAATCTGGCAACACCCACCTTCTGTCCCCTTTCAGAGACGGCCCGCACTCTGTGGAGTGTGTACTTACTCTTACTCCAATCTGAGCACCCAGCCCCACACCTCATGGCCTTTCTCTTGCCTTCCGATGTACCGCTCTAAATAACTACCTTTACTCAACGGTGGCTCGCTCTTGAATTCTTTCCTGCACGAAGCCTGTGAAGGAAAAGCCGGGCTGGTCTCACAAGATAACTCACAAGTCTAGGAATGTGAAGGAGAGGCTGGGCTGGGCTAACAAGGTAACTCACAAGTCTAAGTATTGGAATACTGATCTGAGTTCTGCTGGACTAACTTGTAAATCTAAGTTAATTAGTGTTGGTTTGCTGTTTATGCTTTTTGCTAGCCAGCTGGATTTTCAAAGATATATATCTGGCTTTGGAATGTTGGTTTGCTGCCTCCCCGCCTCCACTTATGTGATGATAATGCTGCTAAAGCTGTTCCCTGCCTATTGGCCAAATACCCCAAGCTTGTACTTTACCCTATAAAACCTCATGCGCACGTCTTGGAGGTGCTCAGAGCTTCGGAGCAGAAGCCCCTCTGAGCCCGCCGGCGTAATACATCTGAGTGCTCCAGCCCTCCGAGTGGTGCTTGTTTCTTGACTGGCCTGTCGTTTCCGTAACAAGCCAAGAACCCACACTTGGCGGGGCACGTCCCAGGGGCTCAACCGAAGCCTGGGACACAGCCCTCCTCAAACCCCACATCCGTTTTTCCTGCATCATTTTGGTGGGCTTCCTAATTTAAGAGTCTCATTCTCTGCTAACATCCCCACACCTCAGTATCTTAACGACCAAAACTAGAGGCTCAGTACTTCCTCAATATTCTTTTCTAGATTTACTTCACCCATAGGGAGAGGAGAACTTACACTCACAGGTCAACTTCAAATGGTGATTACATTAGAAAAAGATTGAAATGTACATTTTCAGCGGAGGAGGGGAGGCTCAGTGTTCATTCAGAAAAACAAACGAGTGTTCGATCGATACTAAAGATCCAAAGATGGGTCGTGAATTTACACCAACGGAGTAAAATAGTAACGATTCCTTTCTCATTTGCAACTTTTCAGTTTGAGACGAGTAGCGTGAAATTCTACTGATTATGGAAAGACTAAGTATGTCATTGTACCCGCCCAGCGGTTATGGAAATTCACACATTTATAGCTGCATACTGATGGGCCTGTAATATGCCTCTTCAGCTGGTTCACAGTATTGACGTTTCCCAGGCCATCCCCCACCAAAAAAAAAAAAAAAATCTCCAAACCTACTGTTCAACTGTGACAGTTTTAAAGGGAAACAGAATAACCTCAGTTAATCACTGAGATAGGTGGTCAGAGTCATTGCCATCCCCTAATGCCTGCAGGCTTCCTGTTTTAAGCCACAAATTAGGTGGCCTGAAACAGCAGAGATTTGTCCTCTCACAGTTCTAGAAGCCAGAAGTCCAAGATCAATTTGTTGGCAGGGCCAGGCTCCCTGCCAAGACCGTAGAAGACGATGTTTTCTCATTTCTTCTAGCTTCTGATGGCCATTCTTGGCTCTCTTTCCCCTGTTAGATGCGCCCCTCCAATCTCTGACTTTCTATGTGTGTGTGTGTGTGTGTGTGTGTGTTGGGCAAACTCAGTCATCCTCCTGTGTTTCTCCTTTACTCTGACACTATTGTCACATCCTGTAACACTTCTGACAGCAGGCATGTGGGGGTTCTCAGGCACCAGCTGGGTGTCCTACAATTCAACTCAATTCTGACTCTGTCTACCTGGAAATAGCATCAGATCCTGCAGGTTAAGGGCTCAGTCCCACTAGCACCTCCCAACTTCAGGTGCCAATCTTAAGTCCAAGCTGTCACCTGTGCTTCTGATCCGTCTGCTGGTGGATCAGAGGTTCCAACAACCCCCTCCGTGGTTTTGATTAATTTGCTAGAGTGGCTCACAGAACTCAGAGAAACACTTCACTTACTAGATTACCGGTTTATTATGAAGGGATATGACTCAGAAACAGCCAGAAAAAAGGGATGCACAGGGCAAGGTACATGGAAAGAGCAGTGAGCTTCTCTGCCTCTACAAGCACCACTCTCCCCAAGTCTCCATGTGTTCACCAACCTACAAGCTCTTTGAACCCCCACCTTGTGGGTTTTATGGGGGCTGCATTACCTGGGCATGAGGGATTAAATCACTGGCCATTGGTGACTGATTCAACCTCCAGTCCCTCTCCCCTCCAAGAAGATGAGGGGATGGGGCTGAAAGTTCTGACCCTTTAATTGTGTGGTTGGAATCCCTGGCAACCAGTCACCTTCCCTTGGGGCTTTCCAAAAGTCATGTCATCAGCATAAAGACACCTACAATGCAGTCCTCGGGTAGGAAATTCCAAGGGTTTTTAGGAGCTCTGTGCCAGGAATGGGGATGAAGACCAAGTATATACATTTTTATTATGAATCACAATATCACAATCTGTTTCTCTTCTCTTCTTATGAGAACACCATCCTGACTGGACTGAGAGCCCATTCTAATACCTCATCTTATATTTTAATTATTATTATAACTGCAAAGACTCTATTTCCAATAGAGAAGCTGCTGGGGATTGAACCCAGGGCCTTGTGCATGCTAAGCATGTGCTCTACCACTTGAGCTATGCCCTCCCCCCTAAAGCCAGTAATTTTTTATGGTGGTTTGTTGTGCAGCAGTCACATAAATGCAGACGCTATCAGGGCTGACTCAACAGTTCTAGACTATTCCTTAAGAATAATATACAAGCAAGCAACTAGAATCAATTTTCTGCTACATGAAATTCTAGGCTAGTATGTTTACTCTTCTCTGCAAAGTCTTCAGAATCCCAAATTCTTTCTCTCCTGTTCCTCTGACATGTCAAGAATGATGTCCCTGCCTGTGCAGATCAAGAAGCCATGCCTCTGTGGCTGCATTCCAGGCAGCAAGAAGGAGAAAAGTGAAAGAAAGGTACTGCCCTTCCCTTCAAAGGCATGACCCAGTAGTTTGCACTAATCAATTCCACTCACACCTCACTGGCCAGAACTTAGTCACATGATTGCTCTAGGTGCAAGGGAGCCTGGGAAATGTAGTCTTCCTTCTAAGCAGCCATGTGCCCATCTGAAATGCAAAGGTTTCCCTGGAACCTCTGAAATTAGGCAGAGCAGCATGACATGGTCTGGCCAGTGGAAAGTGAATGGTAATGACATTTCAACATTTCAGCCTAACATGTACAGATCTGAACCCCTTACTGACCTGCACAGAGCATGAGCAGAAAATAAACTTTAATTGTGTAAAGACATCTAAGGGCTGTTTGCTATTACAACATAACCTAGCCTACGCTGACCATCACACAAGCTTCAGGGGAAGGAGGAAATATTAACTTTGATGATGAAATCAGAGATTTTTTAGCTTCTATCAAGGCAATAGTCTGGAAAGCTGTTTGGCAATAGGGGAAAAAAAGGCTTTTATAAATTCTTTAAACTCTATGTGTTGACATTCAATTATGAAAGACTTATGCTCAAGGTTACTATGTGTCAGATATAGACGTGAGATTATGATGATGATGATAATCATAACAATAGTAGTAATAGAATAGCTGCCACTAGTTCTTTACTACAGCTAGCCTTGTGCTAAGTCCTTACTATGAATATTAACTCCTATAATCTTTATAGCAAGTCTGTGAGATAGATAGCATTGTTACCTCCAAGGAAATGAGGCACAGAGAGGTTAAGTAACTTGCCCAAGGTCAAAGAGCTAATAAGTGATGAAGCCAAAATTCAAATTTAGGCTCCAGGTTCAGAACTAAGGTAAGAAAAGTAAGGTGAGTCATGTTAATGCAGGCTCAGATGCAATCTTTATTTTAAACTTTTTCAGTGAAGGTAGTCAAAAAGTACAAACGTCCATTTATAAAATAAATAAGACATGGGGGTATAATGTACAGCTTGGTGAATACAGCTAATAATACTGTATTGTCTATTTGAAAGTTGCTGAGAATAGATCTTAAAAGTTCTAATCACAAGAAAAAATTGTAAAAAAATTTGACATTTTATTAATGTATATTTTTGCATTTTTTATTTTTAAAAATATTACAGTAGAATATTATTTATCTTGATCACTGGGTTTGGGGGTGCCTCGGTGAATTTTGCACCTGAGTGCCTGCCTCGCTCATCTCACTCTGCTAGGCTAGCTGGCTTAACAATCTGAGCTTTTAGCCTCTGAGTCAGACAATCCTAACCCGCCCAGTCCTCGTGGCTCGCAGGATGGAGAACGGGACAGGGAAACAGGTGCTAAGAGAGATGTGTCCTGAAGCCGTCTCTCCCAGCTGAAATCTCAGAATTGGGAGGCCTGGTACGTAGTTAAGTGGGAGCTATAAGCTGGGAGACTTCAGTCTGCTTGCTTCCTGCTTAGGTTGCTAGAAAGGACACCAAGGGGCAGAGCCCTACGGCAGCTTGAGGGCATTCACAGCGAAGGGATAGCAGATGGGCAGCCAGCTTGGACAAAGAAGATATCGGAGTTGGCACCTTCAAGCTGCCCTCGGTTCTCAGGGGCACAGGTGGGAGGCGGGAGTTTCCAAGTGCCCTCTGGGAAAAGGAGAAGGCAGTTAAAAATCAACCTGGTGTGGGAGCTGCAGATTTACAGATACCAACTACTATATATAAGGTAGATAAACAACAGTTTCATGCTGTACAGCACAGGGAACTATATCAACACCTTGTAGGAACCTATAACAAAAAAGAACGTGAAAGGGAACATTCGCATGTATACGTATGACCGAACTATTGTGCTGGACACCGGAAACTGACACAACATAGTAACTGACTATACTTCAATAAAAAAGAATGCAAAAAAAAACAAACCACTCAACCTGATGGGCTTGAGGCTTGCTGGAAGAGAAACGCGATCTTAATTCCTACATGCAGATCGCCCCCCACCCACCCGGGAGCCTCTGCCCTCCATTCCCTCCCCTGGACTGTGCTCGAGCTCCCCTGACTTCTCAGAAGTAGTGAGGAAGGTGGAGATGTAGCTGCCAAGCGCCAAGGAGCTCTTCAGCTCCCCTCCCTGCCGCTTCTCGTGTGAAACTCTGGTTTGAGAACTTCCTCAAACACCCTACACCGCCCCCAAGCAGAACTGCACAGCCCAGAGAGCTACTGATCGATGGAGCCTCCCAGAGTCCCCAGGCCGGTAGTCCAGAGCAGTGGGAAAACCCAGGCAAGAGGCGCAAGTGTGCGCGGGGACCCAGGTGCTCCCTGCCCTCAGCTCTTCGCCACGTGGATTCGGCCGCCGGCCTCCCTGCCTGAGCCTGCTCCTGCCCCGGCGGAAAACGGGATCACGGCGTGGGGTACTTCCTGGGGCTCTAGGGAAGCTTCAGACACGTGACACCCGCCACGTTCTTAGCGTGGGACTAAGCCCTGGATAATGAGTGGGTCTCTGGGTTGCTTTCTGACACGTGACTTATTGAATTTAGGTGTGTACCCCGGCGCTTGTGGCATGCGCGAGCGCGCTTGTGCAGTGAATCCTTGAAGTGACATCGCCGGGCCTGAGAGTCAGGAATGGGAGGTGCGTTTTGGTGCCTTGATCGATTTGCCAAACCGTCCTCCCAAAAGGCTGTAACCGGTTCAAACCCCAGCATCCGGGTATCAGGGGTGCTTCTCACCCACACACTTGGGTGAATCCTCCAGTTCATCAAATGCTCTGATTGTTTGCCAAATTATGAAAGGCACTGAAGAAAAGATGTATTCCACGTGCTTTTAATTTTTAAGTCACTTATTAGGAACAGAGAGAATTTCAAGACTGTTTCACGTGGGATCGTATTTATTTTTATATTCTGACTGCTCTTGGCCATTTCCTTTTCTTGAGAGCATTTGTCACTTCTTAACGGCTTAACTTCTAAGTTTTTTACAGCTTAAGGAAAACAGTTTTGTCTACCTTCGGCCTTGCAAACTTATCTTTTTTTCCCCTCTGTCTTGCTGCTTGTGTGTGTGTGTGTGTGTGTGTGTGTGTGACCTCTAACCTGAATGGGATTTTTAATGGAGACTTTCTTAGCGTTTTTGTTTTGAAGTGTAGTTGATTCACAATGTTAGTTTCAGGTGCACAGCAAAGTGATTCAGTTTTATGTATACATACATACATATTTTTTCCTTTCAGATTCGTTTCCTTCATATATTATCACAAGAAATTGAATACAGTCCCCTGTGCTGTACAGTAGGCCCTTGTTTATCTATTTTATATATATAATAACATGTATCTGTTAATCCTCAGCCCCTAATTTATCCCTCCCTGCCCCTTCCCCTTTGGTAGCCATAGTTTGTTTTCTGTGTCCATGAGTCTGACCTTGGTTTGTAAACAGAATCTGTGTTTTTAGATTCCACATGTAAGTGATTCCCTGTGATTTTTGTCTTTCTCTGTCTGACTTACATTAGTATTTTTTAAAAACTTACTTAAAAAGTCTTCACTGCACCAAGATGAATTCTTATGAATTTACCATACCTTCAGCACTTTCGTGGCCTTTTTTTTTAACCCTTAAGTCTGGGATCCAACTGGGATTTAGTTTTGGTTTAGCCATCTTTTAACCTTTTCTGTCCACGAGAGATACCGTGTGCATTTTATTGTGACGTCCTTTTTTCTATATTCAAAGGACACCCGAGCTTCTTTCTTTGTGAATTGTCAGCTGTGCCCTTTGTCCCCTCTTCTAATGAGCATTTGCGGGGGGAGGGGATGACAAAATTGAGAGCCAGCCCTTATTGAGCACTTGCCGTCTGCGTGCACGATGCTAAGGGCCTTGTGTGTGTCTCTCCTTTAAACCTCATCCCAGCCCACTGTATAGATGGAAACATTAAACTCAAAGCTGATGAGGGTATGAGTTTCCCAAAGGCTAACAAGACCGTCTGAAGAGTGGAATCCAGGTGTGCTGAGAGACTCCGGATTCCGCATACTTAACTGTTTTCTGGAGCAAATTTTTTTTTTTTACTATGAATGGCTTTTAGCTAGATGGAGGTGGGAGAGGGACATTAGCAGGGCTACAATATATGAAAACAAACATATGTATGCTCACGTATGATTGAAGCATTACACTGTACACCAGAAATTGACACAACACTGCAAACTGACTATACTTCAATAAATATATATATATATCAAAAAATAAAAAGGTCTGCAAAAAACCATCAAAGGTTCAGAGTGGGGACCACCACAGGATGGGGACTGGACGGTCCTGGAGATGGAGTTACTGGTGGAGCTGGACTTTAGAACACAGCGAGGGTTTCACATAGTAAGAAGGAAGGCTGGGGACAATTCCTAGGATCACGCCCCTGTGCCAAGAGAGCTTGAGGTCCCTTTAAGGATGCTACTAGCTGAACCCCCAGACCTGGAATCCTAGGGCTTTCAGAAAGGGAATTCCCTTTTCAGTTGGGGAGTTTATGCTGAGCATCTGACTCCCAAGGCTCCTGACACCTTGGACTCCTCTCCTTCTTCCACTTGCCCTCCTACAGCAGCGGAGACTGGTGGCTCCAGCTCTGAAATCTATTCCATGTCCCTCTCCTTCTCCTGTCCCCAGCTTCCCACCCACCCCCTGCCCTCGCAGGTCACGTTACTACGACTGCTCACTGTGGAATAAAAGTTTCAAACATCAGTGTCTACAGGCAGAGCCTCTAGGAACACAGCCACGTGCCCGTGTCGGATGCAGCCGGGGCCGCGGTACCACGGCGAGTGGTCTGATTCACTGTTACCAACTAGATCTGTCCCAGTCCCATGGAGCCCAGGTAGTCCTTCTCCATCTTGTAGTTATTGGTCCATGGCTACTAGTTTCCTGAGGCTCCCAGAAGGGACTGCCATAAGCGAGTTGGCTTAAAACAACAGAAACTTACTTGCGCAGAGTTCTGGAGGCCAAGGGTCTGAAATCAAGGTGTCCGAAGGACTTTGCTCCCACCGAGGGCTTTAAGGAACAATCCTCCGTGGCCTCTTCCTGGCTTCTGGTGTTTGCCGACCATCCTTGGGGTTCTTTGGGGGTCGCCGTATCGCTCCAATGTCTGCCCCGGCTCCACGTGTCTCTCCTTTTCCGATAAAGACACCATGGGGTTTAGGGTCCACCTTGTCCAGTGTGACCTAATGACATCTGCAAAGACCCTATTGCTACACGAGGCCCTGCACTGAGATTCTGGGCAGACATGAATTTGGGAGTGACAAATTCAAATCACTACAGTCATCAAGGACAGATGTCCTCCAAGAGCACGAGGGGAAGGACAGAGAGGCAGTGGGGTGTGTTTACAAGATCAGTCCAGGGAAGCGACCCCTCTTCTGCGTCTGTTCTCCTGTCAGGCAGCTCAATCACGTGAGCCCCAGGGCTGCTCCCACCACAAGCCAGGGAGGCTGGCAAGATGCAGGGGAACACACAGATATTTGGGGAGCCCTCCTCCATCCCTGGGTTCTGGCTGTACCTCTGGAGCCCAGCACATCATCTGGTTCATAGTACATGCTCAATGCAAGTTTGTTGAATAAATGAATTACTTCCAGGAAAGTGGGAGGAGAGCCAAATCAAAAAAACTGGAGGGCACCCTGACCCTGTTCTCCTGTCGGCTGGGGATCAGCAGAAGCTGGAGGGGACTTCCCCGCACCATAGAACAAATCAAGTCCCTCTGACGGGCATTCCCAGGGTGGGGCGCAGTCGGTCCCTGGCAGGTTCAGGCAGGCAGAGAGGGCCCCGTAGCTGTGTGAGGGCTGGCTTCCTTCCCCCTTGCTGGCTGCCCTGTGCCCGCCCTCTGCCCTGCAGCACAACCGATGCGGCCGGCGTGGAGGACCATGCTAGCTGAGGAGCGCTCACGCTGCCAGGTGCCCGGCTGGCCCTGGACGCCCGTCCTGCGCGTCACCTTGCTGCTGCTACTCACTGGCACGGTGATGTACTGCCTCTTCCACTGCCTGCACTTCACCGGGCAGCAGCAGCAGCTAGATTCAGCTGCGGTAAGTCGAGAAGGGAGGATGGGAAAGCCACGAACACCTGCCACCTGCTCGCTCAGGAGCCTGGGGGACCTCCTTGGGGGGGGGCTGGCCTGGGGGTAGGGGGTGCAGAGGGGAGCTGAGCCACAGGAAAGAGAATCGGCTCGGAGCAGAGGGGTGGTGAGCTAGAGCGCAAACAACCTAATAACCGAAAAGCAAAAACCAAAACCAAAAAAATAATCAGAATGAAACAGATAAAACTCAGCCAGGGAGAAAGATCTGGTGGAATGGGACAGGAGAGAGCCCAGAACAGGGAGCTAAGGCTGGAGGCTGCCCCGCGGGGTCTGGAGAGTCAGTTCTGCCCCAGAGGTGAATCCCAGGTGGAGATCCCGCGGTGCGGGGTGTATCTGAGAGAGACGCATCCGATATGGGCAAGAAAAATGACTCGTCTTCGGTGTTCCCCCGGCAGGCTGACTCAGAGGCTGCTGGGGGCTTCACGAAGCTGGGAGGGGGGCGGTTCCGGGGCAAACGAGGACCAGAGGCAGCCTGGACACCCACCCCAGGGCCTGACTTTGGGGGCTGCGTTGGGGGTTTCCAGGGGAGAGGGGAAGGTTGTCTACAGTGCTCGCGTTCCGTCCTGGGTGCTAAGACGTTCCTTTGGAGGTCTTTTCTTTAAGTTCGCTGCTGGTTCAAACCTACTTCCTCTTTTGAGTTCTTAAAGGTCACAGTCAGCCCGGTGGGATCTGGATAGGAGGGTGGGCAGAGAAAAGAGAGCTTGAGAGAGAGAGAGAGAGAGAGAGAGAAAGAGAGAGAGTGTGTGTGTGTGTGTGGTTGGGGGGTTGGTGGGGGACAGTCAAGACCTCTGGTGCTTATATTCTAGCCCTCTTTTCTCTTTGTTTTTCTTCCAGTGGGACTTAGCTGAGCTCCAGCTAAATCACACAGGTAATACCAAGTGCACGTCTGTATTCGAGAAAGAGAAAAGGAGAGAGAAGGAAAGTGGGTGGGGGAGAGAGAGAGGGAAAGAGAAATTGAAAGAGAAAGGATGAAGGAAAGAGAGAAAGACAGGGAGATGGCGCGGTCTGTTTCTGAGTGAGGCCACCTTCTTCAGCATTGTATTTTGCTCCCAGAGGAGAGACCAAAACAACCAAACCAGCGCCCCCGGCAATCGCTCACACACCTCGCTTCACACCATAAACATGAATCGGGCAGCTACTGTGAGGCGGCCACCGTTCCAGGTGCCACCACAGCTAACAGAAGAGTCTGGAATCCCTGCCCTGTCAGTATTTCCCTTCTACCGAGGGGATCGGATAATAACTAAATGATCAAGTTAAACGTGTAGCCTGCCACGTAGAGCAAAACACACACGTAGCGCACGTGAGAGGACTGACAAGTAAGGGAGGGGCACCGGGCATGCCGGGTTCGGTTTGGCCTTGAAAATGGGGCCTTCGAGGAAGGTGTCCCTGATGAGGGGGTGTTAGAGCGAAGAGGTAAAGGAACGTGAGAGAGAATGCTCTTTGGCAGCCCCTCCTGGCCCCTCTCTAACCCGCGGTCTTCCTCTCTGGGTCTCCCACACTCATCCCCAGAGATCTGGGTGTGTGTTCGTGCCATTTTATAATGGAGGAAACCCCTCGTCCTCTTTTTTTTTTCCTCTTGGGCAATTTCTGTTCAGGCTGTTATAGCAGAATAACACAGACCAGGTAGCTTATAAACAAGACAGTCATTTCTCATGGTCCTGGAGGCTGGGAAGGTCAAGGTCGAGGCATCAGTATTTCCGGTGTCTGGTGAGAGCCTTCCTCCTGGTTCAGAGACAGCCATCTTCTTGTTGTATCTTCACATGGTGGAAAGGAGAGCAGTCTCTGAGATCTCTCTCTCTCGCTTGCTTCTTTTTTTTTGTTATATGATATATATCATATAACACTATATATTGTGAGTATAACAAAAGATTATAATTGTTATATATTATAACTAACTCACCACCACT